GAGAGAGAGAGAGAGAGAGAGAGAGAGAGAGAGAGAGAGAGAGAGAGAGAGAGAGAGAGAGGCTAAATGAAAAAATTGGAATATGGGTCAGATTGCGGCTGCAATCTACTTCGCAGTTAAAATGATTTTTGTAAATTTATTTAATATTTGGGATGATTTGCAAAATACCCCCACAAGATGAGATATATGCCAAAATGCCCCTAGAAGACGTCGGTAGAACGGAATGCCCCTATGACAAACAAAATACTTTGCGAAATACCCCTGGCCTCCGTTGCACCCCCATCTTTGCAATATACCCTTTCCAGGTACTTTTTAACTTTGCAAAATACCCCAGTACTTGCCAACTTCTCCTAGGCGCTATTGCAGAAGGCCAAGGCTCAAACGGGGATGTCCAGATGGCAAAATTGCACACCCGACTGACAGGGGCACAACACAAAGATTTCGGCCCAAAAGGGCATTCTGCTCTACCCACATCTTTCAGGGCATTTTGACATATATCTCAACTAATGAAAGTATTTTGCAAGTTATCCCTTAATATTTTTCCTGGAAAGATCACCACAAAACCTAAGAGCACTCCGATTTTCTGTTCTTTTCATGCATTCTTCTGAATACCAAACATCACTGAAGTTGGAGTACCTTTTCCTAGGCCCACATGGCTGAGTGGCAAAAATGGAGAATGTGTCGAATCGTCGCTCCTCTGGGCGCTGCATGGTTATGAATACAGACCCTGCCTGCATCGACGGTCAGGGAACTTAGTCCAGGTTGTTGCATGCTGGGTCTTGACTATTACGTGGGCATGTGATAGTTCTGATGATCTTTCCTGTCCTGGCATATCATGCTTTGGCATCAATTCACAGTGTGACACGTATGGTTGGGCACTGCTGTTAGGGTTCGAGTCTGGCTAGAGACTTTGGGGGTTGCACAGATTGGCCCACGACTCACATGACAGAAATCATCTGGGGCTTGGTGGGGTCCCACGGGTTTTCAAGGCTTGAGCTCACATGTGTCCAGCCTATAGCCCCAGTGCCTGGAACCACTGTCAGGTCCAAGTCGCCCTCTGAAATTGCATGGTGATAATCCTGAGTACTCAATACTGTAGGATAATAGGGATCGGGGTGCGCTAGGAGAATTGCCGAGAGGATGGGTAGGGAGGTGGTCTTACCGAGCATAACAGAATGTCAGGACAGCCAATAGCTGTGACAGTAACC